CAGAACTTCATTTCTATGATTTTCTATATATAATAATGATATCCTAACAATTTATCCTCCTATTGCAATTTAATAATATACTTTTCTTACAGAGCTTCATTGTATGTTTGATAAATGTACCTTTTTATCGCATGTTAGCTGTAATTAATTCTAAGATCGAAAACTGTACCGAGTATGAAGTGAGCGTGAACGAGTGTCTTAGCTTTAAGTAGTTCGTAAGATAAAATAAGTTAGCATAAGACAATAGAAAATATTCTATTCATCCGCCGATGGACGTCGTGGGACGCGTGCGTTTTAACTTTAAGTAATCGAATAAAACAACTAATTCTAAGATAGAAAAATTGTACTGAATACCATGTGCGTGCTCTCTTACAGAGATACGCGACTCATTCGTAGCATAATTAATACAATACCATCTACATTTTCAACATCTTATTAAGGAAGAGTACGAAATTTTACAAAATGATTAGCGTTGCAATTTCAAATAAAATATAAGACACTCCTTAAAAATTTATGTTAAGAACACGAATTTTTGATAAAGTGTCTTATCTCCTTTGCTACGAATGAGAATCGCGTATCTGTGAAGATAGAGAGCTGCCAGTAGGGCCCTTGTTTTTGTCGGGTCCCTTGCGTAGTCACCTCCTCGTGGTGGGACCTGGTAATTGGTATCCTTTTCCAAAGAAAATTCTCACTTTTGCAAAAGGATACCAAGCTAAGAACTACGCGTACCCGTTGACACTCTGATTCTCGCACACAGTTGAAAGTTTTAACTTTAAATCGTTCGTAAGATAAAGTAAGTTAATTCTAAGATAGAAAATTGAACACTATGTGCGCGTTTCTTAATAAAATACCTTGAAAAATTATTCAGATTCTATGGTAGATGTGAAAGTTCCATTTAACATCAAACTTTAGCAAATTAGCAATCAATTGCCTACGAAACACAAAGAATTTCTTCAATTTTCTGACATAAAATTATACAAGAAGTAGCAGTAAAGGAAGATTAAATATGAAATGCAATTCCGTGACAAATTTTTCCAAAACAGTGTTTTTAATATGTTACACCATAAAAAGTTACATTACGTGGTAAGATACTGTATCTCATCTTATATATTTTACTTTTCAAACATTTGTATCAGACTTTTCTGCGATTTTTCATTTGCATTACGCATTATTGCAATAATTTCTATCGTTACATTTAATTCTAATTGTTTAACAGCTTTTCTGCTGCTATCGACCCTACATTTTACTGACACTTGTCGAATCGACCCTACATTTTACTGACACTTGTCGAATCG